CAGAGTATTTTACATTGCTTTAGTACTACTTTTACTTGTAATAGTGTTTTACATTGCTTTAGTAGTAATTTTACTTGCAATAGAGTATTTTACATTGCTTTAGTACTACTTTTACTTGTAATAGTGTTTTACATTGCTTTAGTAGTACTTTTACTTGTAACAGAGTATTTTATATTGCTGTAGTAGTACTTTTACTTGCAACAGAGTATTTTACATTGCTTTAGTACTACTTTTACTTGTAATAGTGTTTTACATTGCTTTAGTAGTCATTTTACTTGCAACAGAGTATTTTACATTGCTGTAGTAGTACTTTTACTTGCAACAGAGTATTTTACATTGCTTTAGTACTACTTTTACTTGTAATAGTGTTTTACATTGCTTTAGTAGTAATTTTACTTGCAATAGAGTATTTTACATTGCTGTAGTAGTACTTTTACTTGCAACAGAGTATTTTACATTGCTTTAGTACTACTTTTACTTGTAATAGTGTTTTACATTGCTTTAGTAGTACTTTTACTTGCAATAGAGTATTTTACATTGCTGTAGTAGTACTTTTACTTGCAATAGAGTATTTACATTGTTGTAGTACTACTTTTACTTGCAACAGAGTATTTTACATTGCTGTAGTACTACTTTTACTTGTAATAGTGTTTTACATTGCTTTAGTAGTCATTTTACTTGCAACAGAGTATTTTACATTGCTTTAGTACTACTTTTACTTGTAATAGTGTTTTACATTGCTTTAGTAGTAATTTTACTTGCAATAGAGTATTTTACATTGCTGTAGTACTACTTTTACCTGTAATAGTGTTTTACATTGCTAAAGTACTACTTTTACTTGTAATAGTGTTTTACATTGCTTTAGTAGTAATTTTACTTGCAATAGAGTATTTTACATTGCTGTAGTAGTACTTTTACTTGCAATAGAGTATTTTACATTGCTGTAGTAGTACTTTTACTTGCAATAGAGTATTTTACATTGCTGTAGTAGTACTTTTACTTGCAACAGAGTATTTTACATTGCTGTAGTAGTAATTTTACTTGCAATAGAGTATTTTACATTGCTGTAGTAGTACTTTTACTTGCAATAGAGTATTTTACATTGCTGTAGTAGTACTTTTACTTGCAACAGAGTATTTTACATTGCTGTAGTAGTACTTTTACTTAACACAGAGTATTTTACATTGCTGTAGTAGTACTTTTACTTGCAATAGAGTATTTTACATTGCTGTAGTAGTACTTTTACTTGCCAGAGAGTATTTTACATTGCTTTAGTACTACTTTTACTTGTAATAGTGTTTTACATTGCTGTAGTAGTACTTTTACTTGCAACAGAGTATTTTACATTGCTGTAGTAGTACTTTTACTTGCAATAGAGTATTTTACATTGCTGTAGTAGTACTTTTACTTGCCAGAGAGTATTTTACATTGCTTTAGTACTACTTTTACTTTTAATAGTGTTTTACATTGCTGTAGTAGTACTTTTACTTGTAACAGAGTATTTTATATTGCTGTAGTAGTACTTTTACTTGCAACAGAGTATTTTACATTGCTTTAGTAATACTTTTACTTGTAATAGTGTTTTACATTGCTTTAGTAGTCATTTTACTTGCAACAGAGTATTTTACATTGCTGTAGTAGTACTTTTACTTGCAACAGAGTATTTTACATTGCTTTAGTACTACTTTTACTTGTAATAGTGTTTTACATTGCTTTAGTAGTAATTGTACTTGCAATAGAGTATTTTACATTGCTGTAGTAGTACTTTTACTTGCAACAGAGTATTTTACATTGCTTTAGTACTACTTTTACTTGTAATAGTGTTTTACATTGCTTTAGTAGTACTTATACTTGCAATAGAGTATTTTACATTGCTGTAGTAGTACTTTTACTTGCAATAGAGTATTTTACATTGTTGTAGTACTACTTTTACTTGCAACAGAGTATTTTACATTGCTGTAGTACTACTTTTACTTGTAATAGTGTTTTACATTGCTTTAGTAGTCATTTACTTGCAACAGAGTATTTTACATTGCTTTAGTACTACTTTTACTTGTAATAGTGTTTTACATTGCTTTAGTAGTAATTTTACTTGCAATAGAGTATTTTACATTGCTGTAGTACTACTTTTACCTGTAATAGTGTTTTACATTGCTTTAGTACTACTTTTACTTGTAATAGTGTTTTACATTGCTTTAGTAGTAATTTTACTTGCAATAGAGTATTTTACATTGTTGTAGTACTACTTTTACTTGCAACAGAGTATTTTACATTGCTGTAGTACTACTTTTACTTGTAATAGTGTTTTACATTGCTTTAGTAGTCATTTTACTTGCAACAGAGTATTTTACATTGCTTTAGTACTACTTTTACTTGTAATAGTGTTTTACATTGCTTTAGTAGTAATTTTACTTGCAATAGAGTATTTTACATTGCTGTAGTACTACTTTTACCTGTAATAGTGTTTTACATTGCTTTAGTACTACTTTTACTTGTAATAGTGTTTTACATTGCTGTAGTAGTACTTTTACTTGCAATAGAGTATTTTACATTGCTGTAGTAGTACTTTTACTTGCAATAGAGTATTTTACATTGCTGTAGTAGTACTTTTACTTGCAACAGAGTATTTTACATTGCTGTAGTAGTACTTTTACTTGCAATAGAGTATTTTACATTGCTGTAGTAGTACTTTTACTTGCAATAGAGTATTTTACATTGCTGTAGTAGTACTTTTACTTGCAACAGAGTATTTTACATTGCTGTAGTAGTACTTTTACTTAACACAGAGTATTTTACATTGCTGTAGTAGTACTTTTACTTGCAACAGAGTATTTTACATTGCTGTAGTAGTACTTTTACTTGCAACAGAGTATTTTACATTGCTGTAGTAGTACTTTTACTTGCAACAGAGTATTTTACATTGCTTTAGTAGTACTTTTATTTGCAACAGAGTATTTTACATTGCTGTAGTAGTACTTTTACTTGCCAGAGAGTATTTTACATTGCTTTAGTAGTACTTTTACTTGTAATAAGAGTATTTTACATTGCTGTAGTACTACTTTTACTTGTAACAGAGTATTTTACATTGCTTTAGTAGTACTCTTACTTGCAACAGAGTATTTTACATTGCTTTAGTAGTACTTTTATTTGCAACAGAGTATTTTACATTGCTGTAGTAGTACTTTTACTTGCCAGAGAGTATTTTACATTGCTTTAGTAGTACTTTTACTTGTAATAAGAGTATTTTACATTGCTGTAGTACTACTTTTACTTGTAACAGAGTATTTTACATTGCTTTAGTAGTACTCTTACTTGTAACAGAGTATTTTACATTGCTTTAGTAGTACTTTTACTTGCTACAGAGTATTTTACATTGCTTTAGTAGTAATTTTACTTGTAACAGAGTATTTTACATTGCTGTAGTAGTACTTTTACTGAAGGCTCAGTACTTCTTCTTGAGCAGAAGCAGCAGAGACACAGGTCGAACGAAGGAAAAGAAGAAGCTGGTTTGAATATTTGGGTGATTCTGAAAGCTTCCAGCTGCAGAACAGATGTGAAGATAAAGGACCTTCAGAGTTCTGCAGTAAAACAATAAAAGGCCTCTGAAGGCGTTTCCCTCCGTCAGCAGCAGCAGCAGCAGCCTTTAAATATTTGCAGGGTTTCTTGGAAGCAGCGAGAATATAAAGCTCAGTGTTCACAGCTTTCTGAGAAACTCCAAGGACTCGCACGAGGAGCTGCTGCTTCCTGTCACACAGGACATCCAGCTTTCATTCAGCAGCTGGGAAACATGTGATCAGTTATTATTCACTTCACTCACAGCAGCAGGGAAACCTTCACACTTTTATTACTGTATTATTATAAATATGCACAGTTCACCAACAACAGTTATAATCACTCTGTGTACTCGTGCATTTGTACTCCAATCCATGATAATTTTACATTTTGTGTAAAATCTGTTAAAAATACCACTTTTACTTTTATGGTTGAGCGTGTTTAAAATGTATATTGTATATATGTAGCCGCAGTGCATCCTGGGAAGTGTTTTTGGGGTTCAAACACGCTTTAACAATAAATCAATCAGGTTAAAGTTTCAGTTGAACTTAATTCTGACAATTAGTTTTCAGAAATCTACATGTTGAACTTCATTCTGAAACTTTAATCTCAGATTCATAACTTTGGATTTAATCATCATATTTCAGACTTTAATTTCAAATCTCATATTAAAATACTTTTAATCAGAGCACGAAGAGTTAAGAAGCAGCTTTTAAATAAACTTTATTATTTTCAGTTAAATTTAAACCTTTACAAACATTTCAACAAGAGAAAAGTTTCTTTACTTCACAAAGACAGATTTAAACTCTTCCGACAGAAACACAGAACCAGCTGAGCTGCAGTGTCATATCTCCTCAGTCCACCTTAAAACCAGGACGGCTGCAGAAAGCTGATCCTCAGCAGGCTGTTGAGGAATTACTGAAGTCCATGGAGGGCGGCCATTGTTGTTGTGCTTGTGTGTGTAGTACTGTGTGTGTGTATTACTGTGTGTAGTACTGTGTGTGTGTATTACTGTGTGTAGTACTGTGTGTGTGTGTTACTGTGTGTAGTGAAAAGCTTCATTGCCAAGTAGTAATTTTCTGTGGTGATTAGCTTCTGGACATAAACTGACATTAATAAATGTTTAAATATATAAATATGAATAAAGAGATGCGAGTTATAGAAGAATTATAAAACTTTGAGTAAAAGATAAAACGTGGTTATTTACATTTGCATTACTCAGTGTTTGTGTTGTGCAAACAACAACATTACAGGGGGAGAGGATTTATATTTATAAAAATATATAAATATAAAATTGACAGATTATAAAAATACAAAACAATAAAGAATATGTGCAATACGGCAGTTTGTTCAGTGATATGCAAAATATTTACATTAGATTGTATTTCTGTGTATTTCTGTGATGAACCGTTGAAACAGGAAGTGATAAGATGTGAAAAGCAACTCCTTCAGTTTAAACATTTATTTCATTCAGGAAAATAATTCTTTATTCACTTTTTCACCGCTGCCAGTTGATTAAAGGAACAGTCCGTCATTTTGTTACTGCAAAAAACCTCAGTGAAAATTCAGAGTTAACATTTTATTAAATTTGGATTTAATTCTGATCATTCAGATTTATAGTCTCAGATTTTTTTTAGGAAGTCAATTTGGACGTTCATCTCAAAATATGAAAAAATTTCAGACTTTAAATCTTTTGTGACTTTTGTCTTGAAACCTCTTTTAGAAACTTAAAATTTCACATTTGAGACGGTTTTCAAAATTTTTATTTATACTTTTATTCTCAAAAATCAGAGTTTAAATCACAGATTCCTGAGACTTTAGACTGAATTTCAATCTTAAAGTGATTTATTGTCTCCGTCAACAGATTAATGCTTTTTGACAAAATGTCAGAATAGTGAAAAGTTGTATTTAAAGTATTTCATGACATCAGATCTGTGATTTTAATATGAATCCAAAAGATGAAATATTAAATCCACCTGCTGATTAGAGGAACTGATTCATCTGTATATTTACACTACCGTTCAAAAGTTTGGGGTCACCCAAACAATTTTGTGTTTTCCTGAAAAGTCACACTTATTCACCACCATACGTTGTGAAATGAATAGAAAATGGAGTCAAGACATTGACAAGGTTAGAAATAATGATTTGTATTTGAAATAAGATCTTTTTTACATCAAACTTTGCTTTCGTCAAAGAATCCTCCATTTGCAGCAATTACAGCATTGCAGACCTTTGGCATTCTAGCTGTTAATTTGTTGAGGTAATCTGGAGAAATTGCACCCCACGCTTCCAGAAGCAGCTCCCACAAGTTGGATTGGTTGGATGGGCACTTCTTGCGTACCATACGGTCAAGCTGCTCCCACAACAGCTCAATGGGGTTCAGATCTGGTGACTGCGCTGGCCACTCCATTACCGATAGAATACCAGCTGCCTGCTTCTGCTCTAAATAGTTCTTGCACAATTTGGAGGTGTGTTTAGGGTCATTGTCCTGTTGTAGGATGAAATTGGCTCCAATCAAGCGCTGTCCACTGGGTATAGCATGGCGTTGCAAAATGGAGTGATAGCCTTCCTTATTCAGAATCCCTTTTCACCCTGTACAAATCTCCCACCTTACCAGCACCAAAGCAACCCCAGACCATCATATTACCTCCACCATGCTTAACAGATGGCGTCAGGCATTCTTCCAGCATCTTTTCATTTGTTCTGCGTCTCACAAACGTTCTTCTTTGTGATCCAAACACCTCAAACTTGGATTCATATGTCCACAACACTTTTTTCCAGTCTTCCTCTGTCCAATGTCTGTGTTCTTTTGCCCATCTTAATCTTTTTCTTTTATTGGCCAGTCTCAGATATGGCTTTTTCTTTGCCACTCTGCCCTGAAGCCCAGAATCCCGCAGCCGCCTCTTCACTGTAGATGTTGACACTGGTGTTTTGCGGGTACTATTTAATGAAGATGCCAGTTGGGGACCTGTGAGGCGTCTGTTTCTCAAACTAGAGACTCTAATGTACTTATCTTCTTGCTCAGTTGTGCAACGCGGCCTCCCACTTCTTTTTCTACTCTGGTTAGAGCCTGTTTGTGCTGTCCTCTGAAGGGAGTAGTACACACCGTTGTAGGAAATCTTCAATTTCTTAGCAATGTCTCGCATGGAATAGCCTTCATTTCTAAGAACAAGAATAGACTGTCGAGTTTCAGATGAAAGTTCTGTTTTTCTGGCCATTTTGAGCGTTTAATTGACCCCACAAATGTGATGCTCCAGAAACTCAATCTGCTCAAAGGAAGGTCAGTTTTGTAGCTTCTGTAACGACCTAAACTGTTTTCAGATGTGTGAACATGATTGCACAAGGGTTTTCTAATCATCAATTAGCCTTCTGAGCCAATGAGCAAACACATTGTACCATTAGAACACTGGAGTGATAGTTGCTGGAAATGGGCCTCTATACACCAGATATTGCACCAAAAACCAGACATTTGCAGCTAGAATAGTCATTTACCACATTAGCAATGTATAGAGTGTATTTCTTCAAAGTTAAGACTAGTTTAAAGTTATCTTCATTGAAAAGTACAGTGCTTTTCCTTCAAAAATAAGGACATTTCAATGTGACCCCAAACTTTTGAACGGTAGTGTAAATTTAAGCTCAGTTTGAACCTGTTTTTTTAATGAAACGTTTCATCGTAAATATAAAAATATCCATGCAGCCGTTTTAAAGTCTTGTGTTTGACCCGTGAGACAGAACAGAGAGGTTTCTGGGTCACATCAGGACGTCCTCCAGAACCGAGGGATGGACGTCTGCAGCCTTCAGGCTCTGCAGCAGCCGCTCGACTGTGGCTTTCTTCCCTTCGCACCGTCTCCACTGGACCAGACCGGCCAGAACCGCTCCGTGAGTACTGAGCGGGTGATCGGCCCGGCACCGGAACAAAGCCTCCGCGGACAGACCCAGGTCCATCAGGACCGACTCCCACTCGGCACCGAGCCGAGACGCCAGGCGGGACAGCTCCCGATCCGAAGGAACCTTCTGGAGAACCGAGTCAGGAAGCTGCCGGACGTCTGCAGAGAGACGGAGACGTTTTCAGTTCTGACAGATTAAAATGCGATTTTACAGATTTATCTTTAAAACCTGAATTTACACTTTGATCTCAAAACTCATCATTTATTTCTCTCTTTTAAAACCTTTATGCTGAAATTAACTCTCAGAAAGGACATTATCAAAAAGATCTGATTTATTTTTCATTCATATGGATTTTTTTCCTTCACATTTTTGACTTTCTGAAATTTTACCTGAAAATTAAGATTTTATACTCAGATTTTTATCCAACCCACGTCAGGATTTGTCTGAATTTGCAGTTCTTTATTTTGTCTTTAATCTCAGGATTGTCTTGTCCATAAAGTTGAGATTTCTGAATGAAGTCTGGTTGACGGCTTTGATCAGGTGACGGCTCTCGTACAAACAAACTTGTTGGACTTGTTCAGTTTGTTGTTGTCAAAGGTTTGAATAATAAACTTGATTTGTCGTCAGACGCTGCAACTTTAATTCTCAGTATTTCTAAGTCGGGGGGGGGGTGTTGTGTTGTTTGGTCTCCTCTCATTGGAGAAAAGAGAGTTCCTCTTCAGTCAACACATGTTGCAATCAGTGTTTTTCTTTTAGGTCACTGAGACACAGGAAGTGCTGCCTGTTCACCGCTCGTAACCTCCACATGGTTTGTTTAATGAAGCGTCCTGCGGCGCTGAGAAAAAACGTAAAGGAATAAAGTTCAGATCAGCTGCAGAGAAGAAGAAGAGCAGCTTTACATTTTACATTACTCATTAACCCTGTGTTGTTTTGTTGTTCCTTTTCTTTCTGTAAAGAACATTCTGACCCCGTTAAGCAAAATCATTATAAATCAAGTATTTTTGTGGCATTTCTGTTCTACTTGTCAGTGACAGCAGCGAGACAGTAAATTATTATTATAAACATGAACTCCAACCCAGCAGCAGGTCCAGCGTTCATGTGTTTTATTTAGTTCATGATTCAAATATGCTGCAACACGTCAGCTGTTTAAATAAAGCTTTATTTGAGGGTTTTTATGCTTTCAGTTAGCTGACTGACAGAAAATGAATCCCCAGCTATTGTTAGAATAAGCTGACGAGCCGACCCGTTCTCTCTCCCCGACTCGCCACATATGGACGCACGGTCAAGGCCTTGTAGCGAGGGTTCGATGTGAAACATTAAATATTTTTATTTGAGATACGCGAGTTACGTAAAGTGCGTAAGTTAACTTACGTGTTAACTGACATACGTAGTTATTTTAACCCAAACCAGAATGTTTTCTGAACCTTGACCAACTAGTTTTGTTGCCTAAACCAAACCAAACTGCAACGTTTCACGACTTTATTAACGTGCCGTTTCAAAATGACGATGTTTCAAAACACCAGCGTTTTATTTGAAAGTCTAACCGGACGTTGCATATATGTTGTTGCTAAGCGTTGGCGAGGAGGAGGACTTTTTTTTAAAGTCAGAATTTTTAAGATTAAAGTCTGAATTAATTTTTAAATAAAAGACATAATTATTGGATTCAAGTTTGGATACAAGTCGGTAAACTGAGAATAAAATCTTCATTTTATTAGAAGGGCGAGGAGGAGGAAGGGTGAGGAGGAGGAAGGGCGAGGAGGAGGAAGGGCGAGGAGGAGGAAGGGCGAGGAGGAGGAAGGGCGAGGAGGAGGAAGGGCGAGGAGGAAGGGCGAGGAGGAGGAAGGGCGAGGAGGAGGAAGGGCGAGGAGGAGGAAGGGCGAGGAGGAGGAAGGGTGAGGAGGAGGAAGGGCGAGGAGGAAGGGCGAGGAGGGGTGTTGTGAGCGCTCAGCTCCGTTTGCTCTGATCTCCATTAAGAAACCAAAGAGCAGCGTCTGAACTAAAAAACTGTCTCGTTAGCAGAAACTGGTTTCTAAGAATTCGTTATTAATTTAGTTAAAAGACGCTGACGAAGATTTTTTCCTGGAAAACTTCTTAAACTGTTCTGAGAAAAACTGAACGTCTCTGATGACGCAGGAAAACACAAACACAGCCGTCATCTGATTCATCTGAACATCTCAGATTATTCTCAAACATCTGGAACTGAACTTGGACTTTTTTACTAAATCAGACATTTAATTAAAACTTTATCAATTTTCTTACTTTGATTAAAGATTTTAATCCCAAACTTTTATTTTGTTCCTTAAAATTTACTGAAATTTCAGATTTATAAAACTTTTCCTAAAATGCTTCACTTTTATTTCCAACTATAATCTCAGCTGCGACTTTAATCTAAATGCTGGATTTATTCAAAGCGCCTGACGAGGTTCCCGTTAACGCTGACGGTCGACCGTCGGGGCCGTTTGAGGTGATCTGCTCTCAACATCTGGATTTAAATATTGATTGTTTTCTTAGAAGATCTCAGTTTTATCTCTTCTAACATTTATCTCAGAATTATTCACTTATTTTAACTTTTATGTCAAAATTCTTTTTCAAAAATGTCACTTTTATTTTGAAAGGTGTGCACGGTTCCTGTGTGAACTCTTCTTCTCTTTAGTTTTCTTGGCGGTCGTGTCGTGAATCGTGAACGTCACGTCGTTATTAAAGGTAATTAAACGTCTAATAATCCATCAGTTATGGTAATAAATGTTAATTACTAGAAAACAGAGCCAGAGCTTTTTCACTGAGAACAAACTTCCTCTTCACGACTTATTTTCTTAATCAAACAAACAAACAAACAAACATCTTCCATGAAGGTAAACGTGTTTGTTAGTTTGTTGACGCTGAAGAACGATCAGCTGATCAGTTCTTTATGAATCTCAGCGTTTTATTCTGACGGCAGGTTCAGACCAGATGCACAGTGGACTAGAGCTGGACTAGACCTGGTCTGGAGCTGGACTAGAGCTGGACTAGACCTGGTCTGGAGCTGGACTAGAGCTGGACTAGAGCTGGACTTTTGTGGTCCAGATGTGGTCTACAGAAACAAAATACAACTAAAAAGGTTTTCATGAATCTAAAACTGGGTTTTAAACAATCTTTAGTCTTAGTACAGAACTGGACCTGGTCTAGACCTGGTCTGGAGCTGGTTTAGACCTGGTCTAGACCTGAGCTAATGTGGTCCAGATGTGGTCTACAGAAACAAAATACAACTAAAAAGGTTTTCATGAATCTAAAACTGGGTTTTAAACATTCTTTAAAGTCTTCGTGTTAATGTAGTTCAGGTCAAGCCTAATAACAGTGCTGGACCTGGTCTAGATCTGGATTCATGTGGTCTAGATGTGGTCTCGGCGGTGAAGTCTCCCTGTTTCTGTTTTCACAAACTGATTTAAATGTTTCACCCACAGATATCAGGTTAATAAACAGACTTCAGAGTCTTTGGCTAGACCTGGTCCGATGCGGTCTGGATCGGGGTTTTCAAAGTGGGAGGCTCATGAAGGATTTCTAACAAACAGGCGTGAAAGGGAACCAGGTCTGGGATCACTGACCTGGAATCAGCCCTGACCCGCACAGGCAGAACCAGAACCTGGACTGAACTGGAGCCAGACCCGGTTCTAAAGCCTTCACACAGAACACACTGAGACCTGTTTCTACCTCCAGGTGAGACGCTGGTGGTCTCAGGCGTGCTTCCTCCTCCCTGGTCTCACCTGGTGAGCTGGGTCCGGGTCCCGTCTGGAGCTCCTGCAGCAGCTTGTCTCGGACCCAGCCGAACTCGTCCAGAGAGCGCAGGAAGGCGCTGAAGGCCCGGGGCCCGCGGCTCGGCAGGAGGTCCAGCAGCTTCAGGGTCTTCAGCCTGTCTGTCGGCTGAGACGCGATGTCCTCCACCTGAGCCTCCGTCAGAACGTTCTCCTGGTACAGAACCGGAACGATAGTCTCGCTGACCAGCAGCTGCCCGGACAGTTCCAGCCTGTGTGTCCGCAGCAGGGCTCTGTGTGCCGGGTCCATTTACTGCTCCGGTCCGCCAGGAGTTATAAATAATATGTAAATATATAAATATAAAATACTCACTTTAATATTCTTCAGGAAAACTAGCCCGGAATACAACACGGTGCTCATTGTTATTGTGTCCGACTGAAAACGTGGCGGCGGGCGGAACTTGTTTCCCATGAGAAGCTTTTAGCAACTGTTGAACCGGTTTAATTTAGTGTATTATTAATTAATTAATTATTATGAACCGCACTTTAATTATTATTAATAATACATCCGGTTTAAATCGAGCAGTAACCAGACAAATAGAGGCTTAACGTTAGCTAGCTAACAGCATGAGCTAACAGCAAAATCACAATTTATTGCATAAAAGAGTGCAACTAGGTTGATTAAATATATTCCGAATTTACTAGAGGAAGCAACATTTTCAGACAAGCTCATATTTGATGTTTTATCAGCTGTTTATAATTATTAACAAAAGAGGAATCCTAAAAACGGTAGATTTCTCGATGAAGTTTGGCTGAGTCTTCATGGAGTGGAAACCGGTACGTTCTGTGGCAAGCACAGTTAAATAGATTAAATCAAATATTAATATATTAAATTATAAGACTAGTATTCACCTCTGTGTACATTAATTAGCATAAGGTTTTGTACTGAAAGCCTCCTGCTCCCACGGTGAACGTACAGCGGGCAAACAGTGTGATCCAATGTTAAAATGAAGGTTTTTATGAAATATATTCCGACTTGACAGGTCAAACATAAACCGAATTTAAGAATACCTGTCTCTTTCACAAGGATATTTTAAGTGTACCTGATGTTTTTTTAAACAATCAATGAGCAAATCTAAAACTGGAAGATTTTGGAATGGAGATCCTTTACAGAAAACAGCCGTTAATTGCACCTATTAATCTTCATTAATCATTAATAGAGATTTTCCTTTTCTGAGAAACATATTAGGCTATTTATTAATTAACTGTAATTGTAATCTGTGTCGGTCTCAGCAGCAGCACTTTGATTTTATTAATGATTCCTGAGTCCTGTAAAACTTTTTCTCATGTCAGCATTTTTATTTTCTTAATGGCATTTATATTAACTTTCACACATTCCTGTTGGTCTTGTAGAAGAATCACTGAAAGCTGTTGTTGTTTTATACATAATAATAATAATAGTAGCAACAAATAAAGAATATTTGCACTAAATACAAACACCGGTGAGTTCAAACATTTAGGGTGTCGTACTTTAGACCTTTATAAAAATCTCTTTTTATTAATGAGGCTGAAAAATAAAAATAACATTTTAATCATCTAAGGAAAAGTGTGACGACATCATCATCTGCAAAACAAAGAGGTTCTGAGAGAGCAGACAGTGAAGAGCTGTGTAGTGAAAAGCAAACACACCACCGGGATGAAGCACCAAATAAAAACTTTATTTATCTCGTGGAGCTGATCGATACAGAGGCGAACTGCTGCACAGATTCAGGACAACACAAGCTTTCAGTCTGTGCAGCCTCTTTACAAAATAATGTACCAGGAAACAGTGTGACACAATCAATAAATATGTTTTAATAATCAAACAGGGCGAGAGCTGCAGGGTCCACCCGAACAGAATCTGTCCCACAGCCGTGAAATGTACAAAAGATCCTTGTGTTTTATGTTCACTAGTAAAGTTTTATTCATTTGAAGAGTTTTATGTCTAGAGAAGATGCACTTTATCGCCGTGAAATCGTATCTGGAGAAAATAAACCATAAGACAAAAAGTGGGTATTAACAGGAACATCATGTAGAGTCGACGGCATCGAACCTGTGGACGACATGTGCGGCAAAGCCCCGTTTTACCTGAGTGACCGCCACGTCCTGCATTTAAACTGATCCTCACAAAACTGGAAGCGTGACGCCAAAAAGGAGGCGGAGTCACAGAAAGAAGCTGCTAAAACAGGAAGCAGCTGAAAGTTCAAAGCAGAATGAATCTCTGAGGAAACGTCAGCATGTCTGCTGTCCACCTGTGTTCAGTGTTACAGGTGTCAAAACGAGCGCCGGGCACCATGTGACCAACAGCGGGAGCCTAAATTAAACTTTTAATGAAATAAAGTGCAGCTTACTGGATCTAATATAAACCGAATTCACAAGGAGACCCAGGATTTTAAAAGAAGCTCGTGTTTTACGTTCCGCCAGCTGTTAATATTTAACAATCAACAATAACAGCCTAAAAACGATAGATTTTTAAATGGAGTTTGGTTTAATGGTCTCATGTGACCAAACACAAGAGGAACCATGTCTGTCTGTCTGGATTGAGGATTAGGGAGTAAAAACAATTAAATGTAACCCATAATTTCTTTAGATTAAATAAAATGCAACCCGTTCATCTTAATTCTAAGTTAAGTTACAGAACTCACACTTTGTTGGGCCAGAGTTTCATGATCCGGTTGGTTTATTTATCTTCTTGAATCATGGTCCCTGCTCGGTCCGGGTATTCTGACCTGCATATTCGCTGCTTTGCTCTGTTTCTGAATGTTGATTGATTGTAGTTGTTGTTTCGTCTCGTTTGAAACGACTGGCAGATGAAAACTGAATTACCCTACGAGGATCAGCTGTTTGAAACCTTGCTGTTGCTTTTCTGCGGCTGCACCGAGTGGGAACCCATCCAGTTCTAAAAGCAACACGATGCAGATCAGAGTTGATCTCCGTCTACATTAAAACGACGCGCATCTGGTGGCCGTTCAGGTACATGAGGCGTGCACGCCGTGTAAACAGGAAGCAGGTGGGCTGTTCTGTAGTTACAGAAGATCTGCTGAAAGAATAAAGTTCTACAGACGAAGAACCGCACCAGATTTATTTTGCATGGACCGATAACGAGCTGGGACTGTTACTGAATGTAACACGGGACAGGAAGTGGACCTGAGAGGGTGGGATGACAGCGAGGATCATCAAAGATCAACACGAGGGCGGGAAGTTTGTAGATAAACTTGGAGACGCGGCGTCACGTCAGACAGCTGAAGGTGTTTGTGAGGCTAAAACTCTGAGGAGATCCTGACCAGGGGAGGAGGAGGAAAGTTATGCACCAGCGCCTCCTTGTGGTCCGGAGGAGGCCCGACCCTGCAGCCCAGAACCGTCATCAGATCTGTCAGATTATAATCTGCAGATTTGTGACCGAGAGCCTTTAATCTGATCTGGATTTGATCTGATACGAGAGCTGGAGTGAGGATGTATTGGGCCACAGAGCGGGATTAACAGGCCCCGCGGGGTCTTTGTTTTTCTGCGCTGTGATTGGCTCAGAGCTGCAGAGTACTACATCCAGCGGGGACAAAGTCCAAGCGGAGCCCGGAGAGGTCAAACACTGACTCATTAAACCGTGCTCAGATGAAAAACAACTCTGTTTGTTTGTCATCGATCAGGAAGTCCTGCTGACTCACAAACGTGAACTTTTCATGGTCACAGGCCGGCGGGCGGCCAATCAGAGCGCTGCGTTTCCTGCGTCTGAAGGTGGGAACAACAAGTGGAGCCAGACTGTTGATGTGGTTCTGCTCAGACTCTGATCTGTCTCACTTTATTTCACGGGTCTCTGACTTCCTGTCCTCCGTCTGTCTGACTTCCTGCAGCGTCGCTCCGTCGGTCAGCGACGTCATTGGAGGGAGGAAACAGAGACGGAAGAAGCTTTTAGTTCGCAGCTCGGCTGAAAGTAAAACGAAAATAAACAACTGAATATTTACTGGAGATTTTGTTTAAAGGATTAGTTTGTTAGTCGATCTGTGAATCAGACGATGATAAACGGGCTCCGCATAATAAATAATAAAAATACTAATAACAGATCAGCGAGGACACCGACCGCCAGCTGCAGCCTTCAGGAAACACGTTTAATTCCACGTCAGGTTTATTTGTTGTTCGCTGGGCTGGACTCTTTTTGGAGACTAAATAATTAATAGATGATGATGATGATAAAACCCTGACCATCTTCAGATCACGTGTCGACTGTCGACCGATGAAATCAGGTGATTTAACTGCTTCGACTTTCAGCGTCTATCAGATGTTTCTGTGACTCGAGTTAATAGCTGCAGACGCCGCTCTGACTGACGGCGTCGGCCTCTTCCTCTCCCGCCAAAACATTCACTCAACACATCATCTGTGCAACGCTTCAAAAACGTTCAGAAACGGACAAAAACAGGAGGTCCGGGTTTTACATTCGGGCCCTTCAGGGGCCACTGAGTCGGAGCGGCAACAGGTCGTGAATCTGGAACTATTTTGATCATGAAAAGTCTTTTTTAAAGCAAAAATGAAGGCGGCGCTCCCGGCGTCTCAGATGTGCGGCTGTTGTCTTCTGGATCTCTTTGTTAAATCAGAACGTTTCAGGTTTAATCGATAAAACTTTAAATCAATGACGGAACCGACGGTCAGCTGCGGCCCTCGGCTGGGGGCGGACGATCTGGGTTTGCGGCGTCGGTCTGTGAACGTGTGAAGGCGTTTTTAAACTCACCCTGCGGTCTGGTACTTCACCACAGAGCAGTACTGACGGTGCTCAGAGAGCCGTCTGTCTTCCTGAGCCAAACGTCCTGCAGGATTTTCCTCCAGCTGCTCAGGCTCGTTACCGCCCGACTCTTTGACTTGCTGGGTCCTTGTAGGAGCAAGGCATGATGGGATTGGTCAGTGGTCAGTGGGGCGTCGCACAGAGCCGACTGCGCTCGCATCTTCCTCCGCGGCGAGCTGTAGCCCGCCTACACGTTGTAGGTGTAGTCCGTCAGGTAGTCCTTCAGTCTGTTGGGTAACGGCAGATCCCGGACCCGCCGCGTCCTCCTGTTGATGGCGATGCGACAGAGGTGCTGCAGCGACGGCGTGGCGGTGTACACGGGTTTGGTGAGCAGCAGCTGCACCGTGCCGTTGGGCGCCGCCGCCGAGGGTTGAGGGTTGGACGCCGCCTTGTCGCCGGTCCTGGACAGCTGGACGTAGTGCTCCACCAGGTGGACCACGCTGTCGAACTGCTTCAGCTTGGGCTTCACCAGAACCACCGAGTCCAGCTTGAATTTGCCGTGTTTGTACTCGATCCGCAGGTTGGTGGGGCCCGCCGACGTCATGGCGGAGATGGTGAACAGGTAGTCCCTCTGAGAGCTGTCCCGGACCAGGAAGGTGCCCTCCGAGGCGTCCTGCAGGATCTCTTTGGCCTCGTTAGCGGTCAGACTGCCCCAGTACCAACCTGCCGCCACAGAGAGACAGGAAACAGAGAAGACGTGAGACGCTGAAGGACAACATTTACAAACCAACAGCAGCCGCCACTACAGGAAACGATTAACCGAGCGCTTCATGCGATCCGGGTCTACCTGCGACGCAGCATCGGGGTCCTGATCAACCAGCTGATACTTCACTTCTCATCACGGGACTCGGCGAGACACACGGGTGCACCCGGGGCGCTGGGTGCTTTGACCAGAGCGAAACAATAAATCTTCAGGGTTTATAACCTGCAGCGTTTATATGAGCACGACCAGTCCAGACACATTTTAAAACTAGACAGTGATTATCGGTCCCTCACTCCTGTAGCCCGGTTCATTTTAGTTCCGCTTCCTGTTCACACTGCAGGTTCACAAACGCACCACGACGAGTAACCACGATGAGTAGCCACGACGATACAGACTGACAGATTTGGGTTTTTCATCAAACTCGGTGACTGACAGCAGCACTTTGTATCGCAGAGCTCACGAAGATGATGATTATTAATCATTAGTGATCAGACAATAATGATAATTATCACAATCTAATTTTCCTCAATAACAATATAATTAATGTTCAATATATCGTCTATAAATATTTGGTTTAGCACTTAATTTTCTTTTAAAACACGTGTTTTGTTGAGGAAAAAGATTTACTGATTATCTCTGTTATAATCAGAATAGTTCTGAATGTTCTCTCTGTTTGGCATCAAGTGTTTGTCACATTCTGACCATAAAGAAAAGTTTCACCACATAATCAACCATCAGGTTTCTTCAATTTTCACTCAGGAGCAAAAATCTGCCTTTAAACTTGAAAAAACGATTTGACATTTATCGTGATAATTATCGAACGATTATCGTGATTACATTTTTGGCCATTTTTTGGACAGCAGATCCGCCGCCTGTTATGAATAATGACGTAAAGAGGACGTGTAGTTCAGTAATAATTCATTACCTCATGGACTTAATGATCTGACAGGGTAAACAGAAGCTTTTTAAGCAGATGGATTTATTAGTGGTTTAGCTTTGGAAATAATGCTCCCGTCACATCTCTGCAGTCATAAGATCCTGTGGTTGGTTCGCTCTCACACCACAAGTGTAGCGCACCAGAGTTCGAGCTCTCGGAACATTTGTTGGGTTGCTTTTGGTGCCCAGATGAGCTGCACCAACTCTAGTGCGATTCAACCAAACTAAATGAGGCAGGTGTGAAAGCACGCTCAGTCAAAGTTTATCTACAACTGCAAGATGGAAAGAAACTGATCTTAACTCCTGGCTATTAACATGTTGATTATGGCGGCAGACGGTGCCCCCGTAGAGCTTCCTGTACGGCAACGCCCCGGACGAAACAGTACTTCAGAGTTTAGTTGGTTTGCATCCAGCTGAGAGAGAAGACGCTCAGCGGCAGGTCGGATGTGTTCATGTCCTCAGGTACCTTTAATCAGTTAAATCTGTTCAACCTGAAGGAATCCTTCTTCTTTCTGTTTTTCTGCAGCCTAAAAACTCTCAAAACTTTGCAGAAAAATTTATGAAATTTCTGTGGAACATGAAGTCAGCCATTTTGACTTTAATGGTAATTTTTTGGCGTTTTACAGGCTCCATACTTTAACGAACTCCTCATAGAGAATTAATCCGATCACCTTTAAATGACCTCTGTACAATCTAAAGGCAGGGACGATGAAAAATTGTGCTTTGTGTGAGTTTTTGTCAAACGGTGTTTCCGTGGCGTGGCGTCAAAAACTGATGCTTCGCCATGAAACAGAAAGTTGTTGTAACTTCTGTCTACATGCTCACATCTGGACTAAATTTGACATGTTTCACAACAGTCCCGCCCTGAACACATCCATATGCCTACACCTACTGGCAACAGGAAGTAAGCCCTGTGTTATAATCCTTCACGCTTCACGTCCAACAGCTTTTATTTACATCCTGTATAATGTGTTGTAAGTTTTAAACCACACCTATAAAGTCTGCTGTTTATATTCTCTTCTATCATAAATACTCTCAACAACTCCGTCACTTCAGTCTTCCATTCTGTTTTTAGTCACATCTGGAACATCTGTGCGGGACTACAGATGGACTCTGGCACATTTACAGCTGTACATTAAAGCGCACTGTCCCTTTAAATGAGCAAACAAACAAACAGACCTGTGTTCTTCAGGTCTTTCATGGCCGAGGCGATGCGGCTCTCGTCTGATTCCACAGCTCTGGAGTTGTTGTCGGCTCGTCTGTCGCTCTCGATGGTGTCTGTGGACTCGGAGGACTGGCAGGTCATTGGACAGATCCAACCTTCAGCCTGGTTCTAGGCCCGCAGCTCAGACACGGGACCAGGTCTGCGCGCACTGTCCTGGAAATAAATCAGATCCATCACAACAGACGGTCTGCAGCGGGAGAATAATCATCCCAGAGCCGTCACTTCCTCTCTACACGGACGACAGTCAGAAACGTGTTTGTTTAAGATGTTGTTGTTCAGACGCAGCAGAGGAGGAGCTGCGACCTTTTACACATCAGCACGGTCTCCTGATTGTTAATCGTTTGAGTTTGATTGGCTGAAACTCTCAGTGTGAGTTTCTCAGATTGTTTTCTCTCAACCTGAAAATCTCCAGACTAAAACAAACTTCTAAAGATCTAAACTTTGACTTTAATTAACTTTTTTTTATTACTATTTTCTGATATTTTAATACCAAAACGAAGAACTTAATTATAAAGACATAATAAAAGACACCAGTGACTCACCCTTCACATTCACATGCTTTGCGTTTCTGCAGGGGCCGCGGTGACATTTCATTTTTTACAAACAGTCGTCTGAAAAAGGCCTAATTTGATTTTGTGTGACACTCAAGTTTTATGAGTCATAAAAAATTTGATTTAATCTTTTTGTCACGTGGGAGCCGAGAAAACATGATTCTTACAGTGACATGTTGATAAGGTTTATTTGTTCAAACTGGAAACTTCCACAAACTGACCAACAAACAGTTTGCAACAATCATTCATAATAACAACGTGTAAATGCAGTTTATTACTCTGTTATTACGAAGGCCTCTGTTTATATATTTAGATTTATATTCACATCATAAATTCTAGGAAAGTGTTTTCTTGTGTGCAGAATTTAAAAGTGGACTGAAAACAACTTTGTTTGTATTTTCTTAAACATTTAAACACCAGCCGACAACCGAGGAGACGTAAACAAGTAATTATGAATATAATTTGACGCTAACAGTCGTTTAGCCAAACCTCACTAGAAAACGGACACATTTAAGACCCTGCGCTTTACACGGTCTCCTGTGTTTTACACATCACCATATTACTGTTACATGTGTACAACATGTATATATCTGTCTTAGATATATCAGTAAATACTTCTTTTTAAATGGTAAAGTGAAATGTGAAGAACACAAACAAACATTTTCCCCCAGCAGGTTTACACGTTGGCAGATCCGCGACGTCAAATGTCTGAAAATTTAAATAGAATTTGGCGTAAGGCGCTTTCTTCATTTGTGGCTGGGTAATCTGTTCAGCTTTTATCTGTTTGCAGTAAATTGTAGCGTCGCTGAACTGATTCTTGTCAGCGGAAATAAAGACCAGACTGTGGTTTTATTTCTAAACATTTAGAAACGGCCGCCGTCGCGTTAAGATGCGAAAATAATGAACGTAATTTGGCGCAACGTGAGCTCCCGTTCCACAGGTGCTGCACACGGACTGTCCGTTAAGCGGATGTTCTTGCTGATACCTGAAATATAATGAAGTACCTGAGGGCAGCTAGCAGCTAGCTAACCCAGCCCGACATGTCCGCATCCAGCACGAACCCTCGGAACCGGGTTTTATTCTCCGTCCTGGTTTCTTTCTACACACGGGGAGGGAGGTCCGGGTCCGGGTCTCAGACCTTTACCGATCCGGTTGAGCACGCAGAACAAGAACACCCCGGTTAATGATTTATTTCCGCCTCCCGGAGAGTCTCGAACTCGGAGTCCGTGTCGGTGCCGCGGACACAGCGAGTCCGCCGAGTCCGCCGAGTCCGCCTGCTCCAGCAGAACCAGCAGAACCAGCAGAAAACACAGCAGAAAACACAGCAGAGACGCGTTTCCAGGAACTTTCCAGGAACACGGTCACGTGGGGCCGCGAGGAACGATTTAAGGTGGACTGACGGAGACACGCGCACGCACACACAAACACACGCGCACACACACAGGCGCACACTCTGCCTTCAAGCCTGTATGAAATATTTAAATTACAGGTTGAAAGGCACGTGCAGGGGGGGGGTGAACAACATAATGAGGTTTGTTGCGGTCACAGAGTGCAGACAGGGCCGTATCCAGGAGGGGTCCACAGGGGGCCACAGGGGGCCACAGGGGGCCACAGGGGTCCATGAAGCTGTTTGTGTGACACAGAGAGGAGAAAGTATCCGGGGACCCTGATCGGAGCCTTTTGTTGAAATGCGCGTTTTAACTTTTCATAAAGTTTCTCCTCAGTTGCTTTTCTCAAACCGACCAATCACAGCCCGGATGGGACGTTGAAGTGACACAGTGCTGCGTGATTGGTTAAGACTTTACCTGAGGCACGCTGCTCGTGTGTATATCGTGGGAACAAGGCGTCTGCAGTCTCTTTACTCCGAGCGGGACGCGGCTTTTTACTGATCGTGAACGCACCTGCTGATGATGCACTTCTCCACCGCCGGGTCCATCCTCACCTCCTCCTTCACCAGCTGCAGCTCTGCAGAGAAGGGCGTCGGGTCTTCCAGACCTCCGGGACCTGGACCCCTCCAGGACTCTGAGGCGTGCAGATTGTAGCTGTAACTTGTATCTGTGCACTTTGCACTAATTCTTTATTCTTTACTGCTCATCTTGTGAATTTGTACACGCTCCTCGTTCAGTATCCTGCGTCAGGACTCTGGTTACTTTTTAAAACTGTGTCCATTCCACGTCGATTATTACTGTTACTATCTTATTCACTATTACTATTTACCATCACATTTCTGTTGACGCAGTAAAATACTGCACATATCCACACGGCTTTATATTTATATTTTTATATTTGCATGTTTTCTACTTACCTACTTTTATTATTATTTCTATTCCTTTAATATCTCGACACCCAAAGTGAGTAATTGTAACAAAAGAACTTTCCCTCGGGATCAATAAAGTCTTTCTGATTCTGATTAGTATTATTTTATTATTGTAGCTTTTGGTTATCATCTCTTTACTTAAGCACCAATATTTACCAAAGCAAATTCCTTGTATTTGAAAATTTACCTGCATACTTACCTTTCAAATAAACTTGGATAGGTAAAAGTAAAAGTACTCGTTGTGCAGAATAATATTAAAATAATATTATTGGATTATAATTATTGATGTATTTACTCGTTCATCTCTTCAGTGTTGCAGCCAGCGGCGGATGAAGTATTCAGATCCTTTAAAAGTATTAAAACCTCACTGTAATAATACTCTGTGACAAGTAAAAGTACTGCATTGAATATGTTAAATAAAAGTATGTGAGTATAATCAGGAAAATGTGAAGTGTTTAAAGTAAAAGTACCATTATATATTATATTATTATTATTCCTCATGCACTAATGTAAAACAGGATTTTACTGTTGTGATTGTTGAGGTTGAGCTATTTTGTAAATTAATAATTAAAAAAATAAACACTGGATTAATCTGCTATTTTATCCAGAGTGACTCCTTCACCATGATGTTTGTCAGTTTAACCCTCAAAATGATTAAAAACACATGAAAACAATAAAAAGGGTTTTTGTGTAAAAATCTGACTTTGTAAAGTAACTGAAGCTGTCAGATAAATGTAGAGAAGTAAAAAATATCTGAGAGGGAGGAGAAGGAGAAAATACTCATCTAAAGTTACTGGTTGCAGCTGGTAAAGGTTGAACTAATTTTAATAACTTTATAAACTAAAGGATTATTTTATATCTTAATCTGACATAATTCATCATTATTCATTTGTTGATTATATTTGATCAATCTAAATACATCTGCATAATGAGTACTTTTGGTCATTTAATTTATTTTGTACCTTTACAGAGCATTTGTACACGGTTGTATTTGTACACAGAGTGTTTGTGTACACGGTTGTATTTGTACTTTTACTTCGGGTACAGCAGGTGGCGCTGTGCTTGTCCGCCACTAAAAGAAGAAGAAGAAGCAGAAGCAGAAACCGCGAAGAAGAAAGTTGCGCGGGTTGTTTGACTGTTTTGCTAACCGCTACTAAACAGCTAACAGCTAGCGGAGCCGCTTCATCGTCACGGTGAGTCCTTTCTGTGGATTTAACTCGTAAAACAACTCTAAAACTCCCCGTTAACACGAGTTCAAACATTATTAGGATCTAGTTTGATAAGACTCGACACACAACAACTGTTAAATATAAGTTAGTAACTCGTTTTCCAGCCGGGCGCTGTTCTGTATGACAGACATTCAACCGAACTTAGGTTTAGAAACCTGTCAGTTGCGTCTTTGAGCGAAGTTTCTGCTTAACCTCCATCTGACAGAAGACTAGTGAAGATATTTAAGTACTCGATCCGATCCTCTGTTGAATTCGGCGTAGTGTTCAAAACATCCAGCTGTAAAAATTTTCCACAATGTCCCATAACGTTAAAGTGAATGTGAATCACCGAGCGCCGCGCAAACATCATGAAAAACTATTTAAAATGTTTAAATGTTACTGTCTTTGGTACAAAGTCGCCTGTAACAGACATTTAGACCTTTAGCAAAATTTACACCTCAGCTTCAGGTAGTTAGTCAAACTGTTATACAGCTAATGTCCAACGAGTTAAGTTACTAAACATGTCAGATTTTAAATGGAGTTTGGTTTGAGCTTCTCTCTATGAACTGTCATCCAAACGTTACTGCAGCAGTTATGAAAGTAAACATCAGAGCTAAACACGAGAAATTACTAAATTAAAATCAGCACTCATCTGGAAAAATAACAGCAGTAACTCAGTACATTTACTCAAGTACAGATTAGAGGTACTTTTACTTTACGTGAGTATTTCCTCCCTCTCAGATATTTTTACTTCTACATTTATCTGACAGCTTCAGTTACTTTACAAAGTCAGATTTTTACACAGAATCACACGAAGAGTTTATAAAACATGTTTATTTATAAATTAAACTCCATTAGTTTCTACATTAGAGGACAGAAATTTAACTGGAAACTATTTTAATAACCGTTTCATAATTTTTCACTTAAAACCATTTGATGTGAAGATTTGCTGTTTAATGTATTTTTAATCATTTTGAGGTTTAAAATGACAGAACAATCTGTGTGAAGGAGTCACTTTGGCCTCTGAGACAACATTTATCAATATTTACAGTTTTTATAATCATTTAATGGAGAAAATAATCAGCAGATTAATCCAGAATGAAAAGAATCATTAATTAAAAAACAGTTCAATTTCAACCAGTTATTAAAATCCTGCTTTACATTAATGACGAGGAATAATAAGAATCTAATATATAAAAGTACAAGACAGTGAGTACTACTTTAAATACACTTTCCTGTTTATACTCACATACTTTAGTAACAATTTTGATAATCCCTCTATAGATGTAGGATTTCTTTTGTACATTTAGAGATTTGCTGACAAAATAAACTCAGTGAATACAACGTCATATTTCTGCTTATATTTTAGTTTAATGTCCGCTCAGTATCCACTTTATTAGGTACACCTGTACAGTTAAAAGTGCTCTGCTGCTGTACTGGACTTCATTATATTCTTATTGGACCAGGAAAGTTCATTATGAACAGTTTACTTATTTACAATAACGGCCTGGCAGGAGACAAAGGCCTCCTGTAGGGAGACTGGGATTAAATAAAATAACATAAATAATAATAGACAGAAGACGCAGGACAACAACACAGTCCCAACAAACAGACCAGATGAGACAATAAGTAAAGACAGATGAAGAAACATCTACTTTAGATACTTACACGTACACAGTACACGTTGCTGTTAATCCTCCCGTACTTTTACACTGTGACGACTTAAATACAGGATCTGAGTGCTTTCCCGTCTGCGTTCACAGCGAGGACGTCGCCATGGACGCCGCAGAGGGCAGGTACGCTCACCTGCTGCAGCCAATCAGAGAGCTCACCAAGAACTGGGAGATCGACGTGGCTTCGGAGTTAAACGACTACTTAGAGGAGGTAAAGTCACGAGTTCTCCATTGATCTGCCGATTATTTCTTCAGCTAATTGATTCGTTGTTTTGTCTATAAAAGAGAATTTACAGTTTTTATTCTTAAAAAACACTCAAACTGATAAATCTATTATCAGGATAGTTGCAACTAATGAATTAGCTATTGCAGCTCTGTTTAAAGAGCAGGGAGCTTCTGGTAAACTTGAAGTATCTGTGGAATAATCTGTCTGCAGCTGGACGACATGTGCATCACGTTCGATGGAGGGAAAACGCGCCTGAACTTTGCAGAAGCGGCGCTGCTGATCCAGGGCTCCGCCTGCATCTACAGCAAGAAGGTACACAAACTACAGCACCAATAAATCTGGCGTGAAGCGGGTAATGTTTGACGAGCGTCTGACTGTTTCAGGTGGAGCTGCTGCACAACCTGGTTTACCAAACCCTGGAGTACATCAACGACAGGAACAAGAAGTAAGACCGGGTCTGGATGAGTTTGTGTGTTTTTGATAGAGGGGATCAGGACTGACGCTTCGTTCTTTGACAGACGCAGCAAACAGACGTCGGCGTCTGAGGATGACGGCGCAGACGGAGCAGCGGGCGACCGCGACGCTGAGGACGAGGTGAGAAGTCCATAACACAAAGTTCTTTATTCAGATATTTACTTTGAATACGTCAAAATGTTTTAAGAGCAATAAGTAGGTGAACCCTAAACCAACAGGTTAGCGGCCGTACTGTTAATGATTTTATTTAAAACCATAGTTTTTATTATATTGAAGATATACTGCGATCATCTTATTAGACTTTTTCTAAACACACAAAGAAGAACGCAACACTGCAGCTTGTTTGAAAATTAAATTTAAAAAAATGAAGAATCAGTTTTATTTATTTACAGAACAATAAAATTATTACTGCTCTTTCTATAATTGATATAATATCAGGGCTCCCTCTCCTCCTGGAAAACCTGGAAATCATTTTTTTTCCCCTAATTGACCCTTTGCTAAGCCACGCCCCCCTTAGTTACTGTTGCTAAGTCCGACAAGCTCGGAGCTTTTAGACTTTTGTCACGGCGCTGCCACATTCTGTTACTGCGCTCCTGGAGAAATATTGACACGTGCTGGAAAAAGCATTATAGATTTGAAGGTTTGACTCAGACTGAATCTGACGGACGTGAAAACAAAGGCAAGATAGAAGCTAAAACCTACCGATCACACAGTACAAGTGAGACAAAAGACAACGATATTAAGGATCAGCAGTGTTCCTGTACAGCCGGTCGGCCTCTGTTCATTATTACAGTCATTAAAAAGCAGAACAGCAGGACTTTATTACGTTACAGTCAGTAGGAAGTTGCATCTAACTAACATCACATTAGGAACAATCCACAGCTGACATGTTTCTGGATTCATTTTAGGTTTTGGAAAGAGAATAAATCGTCCTTCTCCTTTCAGCCTCTCTGGTAGCTGCTGTAACTATTACAAGATGCCGCAGGAACAGCGTTTGACCAGATCTTAGAAAAATACAGCCAGAAAAAGCTGGAAAACGACTCTTGTTGCATTAGAGTCACTGGAGCGCAGCCATGAAAGTGTCGGACCTCAGTTAGAGCGAGTCCTATACTGCGCTGTGATTGGCCAGCTGGGTATTCGGGCGTGGTTTAGCAAAGGGTCAATTTCCCAGTCACATGTTGCACAGGTTGGAGGACATTAATTCAAGTGACTTCAAGTTTCAGTATCCTCCAAAGGTAAAGATCAGACCCTGCTGGCTGCTGACTGTGGTAGCTTTTTTTTTTATTTATTAGGTTCATAACGTTTTCTTCTCGACTCAGCGAGGAGCGAAGGTTTCAGGGTCCAAAAGGAGCTCAGCTGAATCCTGAACAGCACTTTATATCCCGTTACTCTGCGTCGGGGCTCAGGACCTCAGAGACGTTAGAAAACTCGTTAGAATGCTGCGGTTTGTCAGGAGGCTATTTTTGGTGTTCAGGCAGCAGTCGGTAAAATGTAATTAATAGGAGAAGCACTTGCCAATCATAGAACACAGAGGACTGTCCAAAAGAAACAACAGAAATACAATAAAAAACAGCAATAAAACAAGGAAAGATCTTTGTCATCTTTTAGACTCTTGTACGAGATGATTTCATAGATGAGTTACAGCTGCAGGCTGCACAGCTTTAAAGTCAGACTCCTGCAGAGAGGAACATGTTGGTCATTGTCATGGTGTCTGACCTGATCCCTGTCTCAGACCAGCTGGATCATCACTGAATAGTCCTGGAAAATGATCTGTAGAAAAGAGCAGGAACCCCGATTATGTTTAATGTGAATCATTTAATGTTTTCCTGATCACGAACTGAATGTCCAGATGTCGTCTGAAGCAGCGGGGCTCCAGAGAGAGACCAAAATCTTTTATTTCTTGGTTGCACTGGTGCTCCTACCATTTCGCACCAGTGCAACCGAGCAGAAAGTTAGTCAGGAGCCCTGAGCAGCACATTCACACCTCTTCTGTCGGCATTCTGGGTAATGTAGGAAATCCTTAACAGCGTGACAAACTGACAATAGTCGTCTGTTTGTCTCCTTCAGTTCACCACTCTGGACGTCGAATCCTCACAGAGCTCCCAGAAGGCCGACTCCAACACGGTCAGTTCACGCCTGTCTCTCTGTGCGCTGTCTCTCTCTGTGCGCTGTCTCTCTGTGTGCGCCTGTCTCTCTCTGTGCGCCTGTCGTCTCTCTGTGCGCTTGTCGTCTCTCTGTGCGCTTGTCGTCTCTCTGTGCGCCTGTCTCTCTGTGCGCCTGTCTCTCTGTGCGCTTGTCGTCTCTCTGTGCGCTTGTCGTCTCTCTGTGCGCTTGTCGTCTCTCTGTGCGCCTGTCTTTCTCTGACTTGTGTGCCTGTCTCTCTGACTGTGTACATGTCTCTATGACTGTGTGCCTGTCTCTCTGACTGTGCGCCTGTCTTTCTCTGACTGTGTGCCTGTCTCTCTGACTGTGCGCCTGTCTTTCTCTGACTGTGCGCCTGTCTTTCTCTGACTTGTGTGCCTGTCTCTCTGACTGTGCGCCTGTCTCTCTGACTGTGCGCCTGTCTCTCTCTGACTTGTGTGCCTGTCTCTCTGACTGTGTGCGCCTGTCTCTCTGACTGTGCGCCTGTCTCTCTGACTGTGCGCCTGTCTTTCTCTGACTGTGCGCCTGTCTCTCTCTGACTGTGCGCCTGTCTCTCTGACTGTGCGCCTGTCTCTCTGACTGTGCGCCTGTCTCTCTGACTGTGCGCCTGTCTCTCTGACTGTGCGCCTGTCTCTCTGACTGTGCGCCTGTCTCTCTGACTGTGCGCCTGTCTCTCTCTGACTGTGCGCCTGTCTTTCTCTGACTGTGCGCCTGTCTTTCTCTGACTGTGCGCCTGTCTTTCTCTGACTGTGCGCCTGTCTCTCTGACTGTGCGCCTGTCTTTCTCTGACTGTGCGCCTGTCTCTCTGACTGTGCGCCTGTCTTTCTCTGACTGTGTGCCTGTCTCTCTGACTGTGCGCCTGTCTTTCTCTGACTTGTGTGCGCCTGGCTCTCTCTGACTTGTGTGCGCCTGTCTTTCTCTGACTGTGCGCCTGTCTTTCTCTGACTTGTGTGCGCCTGTCTTTCTCTGACTTGTGTGCGCCTGTCTTTCTCTGACTTGTGTGCCTGTCTGGTTGTAGTTTTCTGATGTGACTGTGATGTGTTTGATGTTCAGACTGTGAGCGTCACTCCTCTTCCTCCCGAGTCTCTGATTCCTCCTGAAACCGGCGAGAAGCACAAACTGCCGCTCATCAGGTGAGTTAGAGAAGAAGGATCTGAGTCTGAGGCCGGTGGGTCTGTGGTCTGTCTCTGTTTGTAATCTCTTTCAGAGGAAAGGTGTATAAATCTAGTTTATTTATACGTTTTCTTTATTGATACAGATGACTTGATGTGTCTTAAAACATTTAGAAACAGAGTAAGAAATCGTACTTCATGTCGATCTGTGTCAGTCTGAAAGGGGAGGTCCTGTGCAGTCAGAAGGACTTCAGGATCAACATTTTCATCCCGGGAGACGAGGATCTGATCCTCCTGACGCTCGGATCGGCCGCTTCCAGGCTTCTGTTGGACGCTGATCCACGATCTGCGGACTCCCTCCAAGGTGAACCTCCACAAACACTTTAACAGAAGCTGGTGGTGATCTGACGCTCCTAAATTCTGACTTTGACTTGGTCAGTTTGACTTTATATTCAGGCCTCATCACATTAATTTAAAAAGAAATTTAAAAAATACGAAATGAAGAGAGTGCAACAAAAACCTGAACCTCAGAGGGTCCTGCTTGTTCTGAAAACATTATCTCTTTAGTTATCAATGTACCTGACAGTTTTCTTTCAGCTGGTGGTTGAAGTGGTGTTTTTAATGTTTCGTCCAGATGTTGTGGCTCCAGCTGATGTTGATGGAGGTGATGCTGCAGAGGACTTCCTCCCTATAGAAGACCACAATATGGAGCTGGACCAGGAACCAGAGGAGCATGTGGACCGACACCAGGTCTCAGTACAGCCTTTCTTTTCATGCGTTAAGAGTTCCGTGTTTATATCTTGCTGACAGATGTGGCTGAAAGGTTATTAATTTAACCAGCACGTTTGCAGAGATGCGTCTGTTATTAAATTGGAGGACTGGTTGAAATGTTTGACGAAACAGTTCATTATCTGAGAAAAGATCAGAGCGTAGTGTTTGCAGGCGGCGCTGAGAATCAATCACCACAAATCTTTAACTTTGCAGAAACAGTTCTTATTTTTATTTCATCTCAGTGGCTGACGAAGCACATTCTGGACCTTTTCTTCAGTTTTAGTCTTCACTGTGGTGAAATCTGAATGTCTGTCTTTTAAATTGTGTCTCAGGTTCTGAGTGAAGGCAGGACGGTCCGAGAGAGACGGCAGGTCGCTGACGACCACCTGAGGAGGAAGGAGGAGGAGACGCCACCTGCTGTACGTTTATTCACCTTTAAATTACTACTTTATTCTCATTACAGCAGTCATGACTTTATTTAAATATTATAACTTCATTTTAATAAACTTACAGCTCCATATTATGGGTTTTTTCCTGACATCCTCAACATTTTCTCTCAAAATACGACTTTTCGACGTTTTCTCCTGCCATGGCTTATTGTTTTTTCCCCAAAATATGACTTTTCAACGTTTTCTCGTGACACGACTTTTCAACGTTTTCTCCTGCCATGGCTTTTTGTTTTTTCCCAAAATCCGACTTTTCAACGTTTTCTCCTGCCATGGCTTTTAGTTTTTTCCCAAAATACGACTTTTCAACGTTTTCTCCTGCCATGGCTTTTTGTTTTTTCCCCAAAATACGACTTTTCAACGTTTTCTCCTGATATGACTTTTCAACGTATTCTCCTGCCATGGCTTTTTGTTTTTTCCCAGAATACGACTTTTCGACGTTTTCTCCTGCCATGGCTTATTGTTTTTTCCCAAAATATGACTTTTCAACATTTTCTCCTGATATGACTTTTCAACGTTTTCTCCTGCCATGGCTTTTTGTTTTTTCCCAGAATACGACTTTTCGACGTTTTCTCCTGCCATGGCTTATTGTTTTTTCCCAAAATATGACTTTTCAACGTTTTCTCCTGCCATGGCTTTTTGTTTTTTCCCAGAATACGACTTTTCGACGTTTTCTCCTGCCATGGCTTATTGTTTTTTCCCAAAATATGACTTTTCAACATTTTCTCGTGACACGACTTTTCAACGTTTTCTCCTGCCATGGCTTTTAGTTTTTTCCCAAAATACGACTTTTCAACGTTTTCTCCTGCCATGGCTTTTTGTTTTTTCCCCAAAATACGACTTTTCAACGTTTTCTCCTGATATGACTTTTCAACATTTTCTCCTGCCATGGCTTATTGTTTTTTCCCAAAATATGACTTTTCAACGTTTTCTCGTGACACGACTTTTCAACGTTTTCTCCTGTCATGACTTTTCAACGTTTTCTCCTGCCATGGCTTTTTGTTTTTTCCCCAAAATACGACTTTTCAACGTTTTCTCCTGATATGACTTTTCAGCATTTTCTCTCAAAATACGACTTTTCAAAGTTTTGTCCTGACATGGCTTATCGGTTTCTCCAGAAATACGACTTTTCGTCGTTTTCTCCTAATATGACTTTTTGACATTTTCTCCCGAAATACGACTTTTCAGCGCTTTCTCAAGATATGACTTTTCGCCTTTCTAGAAATATAGTGACTTTTCTCAGAATTCTGACTATTATTTAAAAATATTATCACTTTATCTTCAAAAACATCTTTAATCCAAAGAGTCCCTAATACACATTAGTTTTATAGGAACTAATGTACAAACATCAGACGGTGGGGGAACTGACTCACTCTGCTCTGTTGGTCACTTTGTGTTTCAGGTGAATGCGTGGGCGCTCCACGACCCGTACGCTGTACTCGGGGAGGATAAGCCGTTGAAAACAGGTGAACTAACGGACTCTCAGGTGTTTAACAGACTGTCGTGTCGTCCTCTTTGCTGACTGAGTTGTTTTTCTTTGTAGGAAAATGCTACAAGGTTCCTGACGGGCTGGACGACGGTGGAAAGAGGAAAAGGAAAAAACCTGCTCAACTGCAGGACTTCCAGAGCTGGTTGAGAGGAACCTGTAAGAAGTTCAGAGCTCATAAGAGAACACAGATTATTTAGTTAGTTGAGCCAATTCAGATAATGTACTCTGACATGATGATGGTTTTTCTTGTGCATTAACTAAATTGTTTACAATTTTTTTTGTTGCAGTTGATCCTCCGGAGCCCAAGTTAAAAAATGGACCCACGTTCACAGGTAACATGTTCCACCTGCTTTCTCCTGAAACCTTCTCACTGTCACTACATGTTCTCCTTGTGTTAAATAAAGATCATGATATTTTCTTTAAAACTGTTTCACAGGAGAGAGAAAACATTTAGGATAAAATGGGTTCAAATAACTGATTGTTTAAATGTGTAAAAATGTGATTTAATGCAAGAAAGGCCCAAACATACAAGAAACTTTTAGAGCTCTTCATCCAGATACTTCAGGAAACAAACTGGGAAATAAAATATGATAGATTTGTGATTCGTCTGAAGACGAAATAAGTTAAAACTGTATTATTCATGTGAAAAACCAACTGCAACTTCTTCTTGTTTCAGACCTGAACTACGTTTATTTGAGCACAATGAAAGACAAACTGAAGACTCGGAAGAGGATCAACAGGAAAGCGGTAAGCGGAGTTATTTCAGACACCTCCTGCTTCTGTCGAGTCATCACAACAAAAGACCAACAACTCTGTTAGAAAATATCTGGTTCTCTGATTTAAAAACTCAAAGCTACAAAAGCCTGAAGGAGAGAAGTCAACTACAACTCTTCCCCCTTGAGTCGACCTAAGGGAGAAGAGTTAGTGAAAGCTGTAGTTTAGACTGTTTATTAGCTCTTCTGTGTACTTGTGTCTCATATAAATGTTCGTACACAAAGTGCTGCCCAGCTGCCGTCTGTGGTCGTGTTGCTGCCGTGTTTAGTGTGAGGAAATCCTGCACAACGCTAACCTGGCTATTTGTAAACAACGGCTGGCCGAGCGAGTGTTTCCGACTAACCGGAACGCCGTCAACTCGGGTGTGACGTCATTCCCAGCTCCGACCTTTTTTTTCTTCACAACTTTATTAATCCAATAGTACTTGACAACAAAACAGGGAGTACAGGTTATAAGAAGACAAAACAAACCAGACAAACAAATATAAAAATAAACAGCAGCTAAATTCTGTTTATAATATGTTTCAATATATTGGAAGCTTTCTTGGTTTTTAACTCTGCCAATAGAAAAATAGGTTTTTAAGGTCAAGATAAAACCAGTGTCGGAAGTTGGAAGCGCAGACTTCAGAGGTAAATGGAACGCAGCATTAAAGGTGCGTTCGAGATTACGGCGGCTGATTTTCATCTACTCAATAGTCTAACGTGAGCTGCAGGCGACTTCAGGGGCGGGGCATAAAAACGCCGCACAGTAGACTCACGCAAAAGGTGGTTCCAAGTGCAAGTGTGGCCGGCAAGGTTTTAATGTCATGTGACATTTTGCAGCGCTGGCGGAAGTCGGACCCAGTTTCTAACCAGCATGCCTTTTGTTAAGTCCAGCATGCATCGTGTTAAGTCAGCGCTGCGCAGCGCGGCATGTAGCCAAACGCACCTAAAGAAGAAGCGTGGCAAAACGGCTCTGTAGCGCCCCCTGAAGAGCAGCCCCCCGGAGCCAACCCCCAGTCTGCAGCGTTTTCACGGCGCCTTGAGGTGGTTTTCAGTCGAGCTGGTTCCGTGCGGTGGAAAACAGGTTGAACTCTTCAGTTTAACGCTGTACGAGTGTGTGATGATGTGCTGTGATGTCACTTTAAGGGTGTGGTCGTGTCTGATGAGGAACTGAGGCGCACTTTCCTGCAGCTGGAGGAGGCGGAGCCAGGTCAGCAGGAGGAGGAGCCTGCGGAGGGATTCAGACACCCCGACCTGCTGGGTAACAAGCGCTCCACTCTCAGACCGCACAGATGCTGTTCTCCTGTTTGTAACTTCAAAAGACGCCTGAACTCCAGCAGCTTGCGTTTCATAGTGACGTGAAGCCGAGGAACAGGAAGTGTTTGTTCCCGTGGTTAAAGGTGAAATACTGTTTAACAGGTGGAGACGACGACGACACCTCGGACAACGAACACGAAGCGTTTCCTGACGACGTTCCAGCGGAGTGTGTTGGAGGAGCAGACTTCATGTCTCCAGGTAGGAACACACCTGCCGTCCTGTTAAGTTTATTAAGTAGCTTAAGGCGAGACACGGCAGGTGAACTCATCGTTTCATCATCCAAGGGACGGCATTGAGATTTCAGGCTCTTTTCCTGCAGTTTGTCTCTGTGCGTCTGAAGGTTTCTCCTCCTTAAAGCTTTCTAACGCTACCTGTCCTCCTCGCCGTCGCGGTCTGCACCACGTGCTCATCTGCTCTTCTACACTGTTGTTAATAATCTGATTAGGTATTGGCTCTGTGACTGTTAGGGCCGTCAGCATTAACACGTTAATCTCGAGCTCGATTTCTTATGTTATGCCGTCACTGTTAAAAAGAATCTCTTCGCTGTAGAATCTTTGGCTGCCACTATTTTGACCCTTCGGCGCACCCTTACTCATTGTCATGCTGCCGCAGACGCTTCTTCCTCCTGCTGCAGCCGTGCAGATGAACAACAACACAGTCCTGAATGTTTTACTCTAAGAATCTCCCACACGGCTCCGTTGAAAGTCAAAGCAGAATGCACCGTGTGTGAAATGGAATTAAAATATCACTGAAGCTGCCAGCTCTGCGTTGGAGAGTGCAAGTCGCCACAGACCTGTGGGTGAAACCAAATCTAAGAAAATAACTCCGGTCTTTCAGACGCACTTCGTTTTGCCACTTTCATGGCCTGTACGAAACGGAATAAAGCAGCCAGACTGAAACAGCAAGTGCCGTCTCGTTAGATTCAACTGAACTCGAACATAACGAAGCTGCGGAGGATAATGTGCGCGCATGTTGTGCACGTTAGCTGTAGGGAGACTTTGTTTCTGAAGACGTTGGTTTGGCTCAGTCTCGTTGCTTTTGATTTGATCAAGTAAATCTAAAAGACAAGTTCATAAACTTTCTTTGCGTTAATCTGATTCCCAATAAAGACACACTGGTAAGAATAGTTTACACAGTTATCTCAAAACAAGTTTTTCCTCAAACTCTTCACTTTCTTTCCCGACGATATTCAGAAGGTTTTTTTTACAGAGTAGATTGTTCATATTTCATTCTCAGCCTGAATTATAAAACATTTTGTCCCTAAAACAAGTCAAAAATTAACTGTTTTCTGATTTATAAAATAATAAAGAGAAAAAAGTCCCCTCAGTAAAAACATTTGAGTTCAATGTGTCGACAAAATAAAACTATAATTTTGAACCTGACTTAATCCAGAGTTCAGATTTCAGCTCTTAAAATTGATGCAAATTAGCGCATATTTCGTTAGATGCTGCCTCATTTGCATATTTAAAGATAACATTTCAGAAAACCTGTAATACAAAAAGCATTGTTTTAATGTGAGTAATGAACGGGGGGGAGTGTCATGGTGATGAAGTTTCAGCCTGTTCGGCTCTGTGAGCAGCTGTTTGAGTGATGAACTTTATATTTTGTGTTTTACAGACGATCAGAGAGACGAGCTGAGTTACGAAGAACTGGTGAAGCTGCGTATAGTAAGACATCGATACGGCCAAACTCTGTCTGTGTGAATTCATAAATACTCGCTCAGATATCTGACCTGTGTTGTTTGTGATGTGGCGTTCAGGAGCAGCTGGTGGTGAACAGTCGCGGTTACACTCAGGAAACCGCTCTGTCCCGCAGAGTCAAAGACTGGGAGGACAAGATCCGGCCTTTACTGCAGCTGCAGGTAAAACAAACCTCCTCGTCTCGGATAACAAACGCCGCCGCCGCCTCATTGTGTTCACACTTCCTGTCTGTGTTGTTTTCAGGAGGAGCGTGACGTGTTCGACATCCACGACTACGGCGACAGGATAGTCGGAGCGCTGAACGCCGTCGGCCAGCGGCGATCTTTCGCCTCCATCGTCGCCGGCTTGGATAACTTCGAAGCCTGCAAATACATGCTGGCTTCACTGCAGCTGGTAAAACACACGCACGCCGAAATACTCACCAACCAAATCCCATTCAGAAATAATTCAACTCAAACTCTCACACGTTTCAGCTTCAGCTGTCGCAGCGTGGAGTAAAAACTGGAGCCAGACCGATCAGCCGGCCGAGCAGAGCCATCGGGATCTGGTCAAGTTTATTTAAAGTGTAGAATCACCACGGACAAGATGGTGAAACAACAAGCTTTATGAGATCCTAACTGTAGCGTCCCTGGCTGAATGATGGTTCACAGCTGATACTGTAGCTCCATAAACCTGAACGCACCGTAAGAGATAATAAAAATAAAAGCATTGCTCTCCTTTTTATTCCAATCATGAAATATCACCTTCTTTATCCTGAGCTACAGAGCTTTTCAGACCTCTTTCCAAATAACTAAAAGGTTCCTTCGGCCCTCTGCTGTGTTTGTTTCCACCGCGGCCTGAAGACCTGCGAACATCAGGCAGATTAACCAGCTGGCGGACGCTGTAGGCGTGCACGCCGTACACAGCGATGCACAGGCGCCATTATTTGTAACCACGGTCCATAAGCAACTTTTATACAGTTTATGATAACAGAATAATAATTTATGCCAATAAAAGAAAATGGGGGGAAGGAAGAAGTAAAACTTAGAGACTCCTCCCCTTTTAATCTCTAAATAATGAAAAGCTACAGGCTGCGTTTGACCATTAAACAGCTGTTAGTGCGGGAGCGTAATGAAGAGACAAACTGGGTAAAACCATCACGTTCTTAAAAGAACTGGCACAGAGAAAGCAACACTAAAATAAAACCGGGACAGTTGGGAAGGTTATTAAAACATTTCCAGCCGGCAGGAGCTGCAGATCAGCTGCAGCGTCACGTCTGTGTCGCCTGAGCGAACGGGAGGTTTAACGAGCTTTAGTACCTGCTGCAATCAGCTGAGACTTCAAACAACAAGTCAGGACCCGGTATTTAGCTGAACGCCATCAGTAAACGCACCGCTGCACGCCGGCTGCTGTTTCCCAGCAACACATTTAATGCAGACGTTCGATCTCGGGTGACGTCGGGGAGACTCGTGCGGCTCTCTGACTGCTGGTTGGGATTTATTGGTTTGCAAACAAAAAGAAAAGAGGAGCAGTCGTAGAGAAACAGTACTGGTACTTTCAGGAAGTACTGCACCCTGAGCAGACCCTGGTCCCTCCGGTAGAAACACAGTTCCTCCAAAGGTTCCTGGTTCCAGGGTTTAGGTCCTCTGGGGGAAACGCAGCTGAAGTTAGTTTTATGTCACAGAAGCAGCTTTAACCTTATTTAACCTCATGCAAAGTGCACCGGGATGACGGCCCTGTAACATCGAAAGAGTCGCCTTTATATTCCAGACACAGAATGATGAAAGGCGCCTCCCTGTGACTGAACACTAAACACCACATGAAACTAAATGATAACAAACCTTGTGCCTCTCAGCTGGCTGCTGAACAAAAGGACTGGTTTCTTCTGGCTAAGCAAACAAACTCGACAGCCGACCTGCCGTCTTCTCTTTTCCAGCAAGACACCTTAGAAATAAAAGCCCCGACCTTAAAATCTAAATGAATGGGCCAAATAATGAAGAATAATAAGGGCAATAACAAAGCTCATTTACACAAACTGAAAGATTTACTATAAACACTAACTCTCTCCTAAATATGGAGACGTTTGATGCTTCCTGAACCCAAACAGGGGTCTGATTTTTATTTATCTATCTGTGTTTATCAGCTGATCAGTGAGCTGAATGTTGGGGACGATCTGTGTTTGTGTACTCGGGGCCGACCAGTTCGTAACACTCGCGTTTACTGTTAATGTTCTGCTAAAATACAAATCCAGCTTCACCTGTCAGGATCTATGGAAAGAGGCGCGTCTTCACCAACAATCGTGATCAGGCTCGGCGTCACGTGACGCCGGTTATTAATTATTAGTTATTAATCTACAGCCTCACATTTGATTTAAACAGAACTGAGAGTTTGTTCCAGATATACACAGCGTAGAAACTGGACTCCTCCAGCTTTAGTTTGGACTCTGGGGACTGAAAGCAGACCTGGTCCCGGAGCAGCTGAGAAACGTGTTCGGGCTCTGAACCGCTGTGTCTCTCTCAGGCGAACGACGGCACGGTGGAGGTGGACAGCTGCGGCGTTCTGGAGGCCAGCGTGGACTCGATGGGTCTGACGCTGCTCAGCACCGACCGGGCCACCGACAGATTTAAAAACCTGACGGACTCCGCCTGAAACTGCCTTCGGACACACGAGCGCTGCAGTCTCCCTGAAGGTGTTTTACCGCCGCCGAGGTTTCATCGATCGATCATGCTCCTGTAAATAACAAGTTGAGAATAATGTTCACGAGTTTCATCCAACAGCTGTTTGTTAAATATGAATGTTTGTAATAAAAACTGCGTTGAAGAGCAAACGTCTGTGTTTTGACCACGACAGGTTTCAGGATCTGTCTGTCCCATAATGCACCGCTTCTCCCAAATGTTCTGATGTTATCGTGTTTATTTCTTCTGTTGCATCGGAGCACAAAGGTTCAGTCGACCTTTCTCCATTTTCTCGTTTATTTATGAACCAGCAGGTGAGTTCATTAGAAATTAAAGGAGCTTCTGAAAAGGTGCCAATCATTCGTGTCCGCTCCATTTTTAAATTCTGCGTGGAAATAAACACGAGAACGCCAAAACGCTTGGAAATGCGACAGTTTTCTGGGAGAAGTGGTGCATAATTTTTGGTCGTCTTTAATCTGTGTAAACTTTCTGTAACCATGTGAACGTCAGGGCCGGCGGTCGCTCCTTTCACACTCGTTTTTGTGTCTCCTGTCTGCAAGAAATGTGGACTTCCAAGTTTGACAGGGGGGCTGCCCTAAACCCTCAGGGGGGCCTGCTGAGGGTCTGTGAGGGTCCACATCAGGAGATCAGACCCGAGTTTCTCTCAGACTCCTCGGTATCAAAGCAGAGACGGAACGCGTCACTGAACACTGAAATCCAGGTTGGATCTACAGTTCGTTACTCCAACATGTTTCCTCCGACCTCGTGGATTCTTCCTCAGAGTAAAATCCTCCTTTAGTTACATGTTATTTATTATAACTCTGGAGGCCGTCAGGCTGCGATCAGTCACAGCGAGGGAACGTTTCTATCAGTGATGGTGTTGAAGGTGTAAATGTAAAACAGACAGAACAGAAGACACATTTGACCAAATAATAATAATCACTATATTTTCTTTGTGAGATGGTGCGGCGCTGCCTCCAGCTGCAGGAACACACGGATCAGGCGTAAAACGGGAGCATCGAACTTCATCCAGCCAGAGAGAACGACCAGCGTCCAGCAACACAACACAACGCATCTTAGGTCTACCGGTTGGCGAGCGGCGAGCCGGTGCGCTGCGGGTGGCCGGTGATCGTTCTCTGGCTGCGTGAAGCCCGACGCAGAGCAGCTGCTGCAAACAACGTGTGCAGCCAGTAGGGAGAGAACAAAACGCAGCGGCTTCGTTTTCAGTTGTGGGTTTAAAACAAAACAACACTTGTTTATTATGTTTTGAAACGAAATAATGAAAGAAGGAGCCGCACGTGGGCTGACTTGTCGTTCTGGACTCGTTCTGTCCCGTCAGCTCCAGCCGGATAAAGAAGTCACGACACTGGAAACTGATCTGAAGCTCGTCTACGTCAGGAGAACAACAGTAAACACCCGCTGATACAAACACACACTTTTATTTTGGAAAGACAGGCAGCAGCAGGTTCTGGATCAGAACCAGGACCCGGATCAGAGAGGCTCCAGGAACCAGGAGTCTCAACTTTAAAGAGTTCCAATAAGACAAGAGTTCAAAACCCAAAAGACTCGGAGACGTTCGGACTCCCACGGCGGTCCAGCAGAAGGGGGCGGGGCTTAGGCTCTCTGTCATCAGTAGAGGCAAAAACAAATTCTGATGAATTAACAAAGTTATTTGTTGTCTTGGTTCTCGGTAGTCTAAACTCTGACATGTGAACGTATTAAAGGGACGTCAGAGACAGGACGCCACGTGTGACTTTATCAAAGCAGCTGCTGACGGGCGACTGGATGAATCACCGGCTCGGTTCAGCTCCACTGTGACAGAAACAGAGTTCTTCCCGCCGAACCGCACATGAACGTGTTTAGAGCGTCCGCCCGGCGAGGACAGCGAGCCGAGGCGTTCGCGTTCAGTCTGTGGTGTCCGCGCTGCGTTCAGGTGCCTCCCAGCGGGACGTAGCTGGTGATGTGGTTCCGGACGCTCTCGGCGATCTGCTCCTCGCTCTTCATGCGGTTGTAGTAGTCCAGGAAGAGCCCGTCCGGACTGACCAGGTAGATCAGGATGCTGTGATCCACGATGTAGTCCCCGTCCTCGTCCTTGGGCCCGGCGCTGGCGTACACTCTGTAGTCCCGCCCCGCGTGTTTCACCTCCTCCGGGGTCCCCGTCAGTCCGATCAGACGGGGGTGGAAGTCTTTGACGTAGCGGGCCAGCGCCGGCACGTCGTCCCGCTCCGGGTCCACGGTGATGAAGACGGGCTGGACGGGCGGCAGCGAGGCGTCCCGGTCCAACGCCGACACCGCGGCGCTCAGCTTGTCCAGCTCGTCGGGACAGATGTCGGGACAGTGCGTGAAGCCGAAGTACAGCAGCACCCAGCTGCCCAGGAAGTCCTTCTTGGTGCGGCGCCGCCCGCTGTGGTCCAGGAGGCTGAAGTCGCCCTGACCCAGCGCCACCCGCCGCAGCTGCTCCACGCGCTGCCGTCGCCGCTGCTGCTGCTTCTCCAAGTACACGAAGCCCCACGTGGCCAGCAGGCCGCCGCCGAACAGCAGCGTCACCCCCAGGCGCGTCCTCAGCTTCAGACGGGCGGAGGACGAGTCCTGGCCCCCAGACAGGAAACGCCTCTGAGGAAGGCCGCCGCGATGAGGCGGTCTGACCCGCTGACTCTCTGAGGTCAGCAGGGGGCGGGCGGCGTGAGGAAGACCTCTCAGGAGTCTTCCTCCTCCACGCAGATCACCCACAATGCACCTGAGCCACAACATCTTCGTCCTCCTGCAACACAAAGTACTCAGGTAAAAGTACTTATACCACAGAGTGCAAATACTCTGTCACAAGTAAACGTCCTGCAGAGTTTAGTCAAGTAGAAGTATTTAAAGTATCCAAAGTAAAAGTACTCGCTGTGTTTATTGATTTATTAGGACGGATGTAATTAAATACGTTGTACCCGGTCGAGTACATCACTCTACTACTTATTACTACCAAGCAGTACTTCATATACCATGTTCAGTGGTTTCATCATCATATGAAATGTGAAGTACTTCGAAGCTGTACGTGTCCGCCTCTGGTTTCAGACTCCTTTACGTTTCATGTTACTATAATATAATATCTCAGGGGCCGTTTTCTGCACAATGAGTACTTTTACTTCTGATACTTTAGGTACTTTTGGTCATAATATTTAGAGAGAGAAGATTTAAAACAATTAATGGCTTATTTAAATTGTTTAAAGGAAAAATACTGAACATTTGCAGTTTTCTGCTTCTCTGTTTCTCTTTTCACAGAATAAAACTTTATGTATTTGTGTGTTAATGTTTGTAAAATACAAATATTTGTAGTTTTCGTTTGAAGGAACCGAAGCAGATGTTAGTATCGTGAAACTTTATACAAGTAGTTCAGTAAAAACTACAATATTTCCCTCAAAGTTAGTGACGGTATTAAGTAGCATAAAGTAAAAGTACACCAAATGAGGACTCGAGTACAGTACTTGTAGTACAGTGCAGTACTTGGAGTGCAGTACTTGGAGTGCAGTACTTGTAGTACAGTGCAGTACTTGGAGTGCAGTACTTGAGTGCAGTACTTGTAGTACAGTACTTGAGTGTAGTACTTGTAGTACAGTACTTGGAGTGCAGTACTTGTAGTACAGTACTTGGAGTGCAGTACTTGTAGTACAGTGCAGTACTTGTAGTGCAGTACATGTAGTACAGTGCAGTACTGGAGTGTAGTACTTGTAGTACAGTACATGTACTGCAGTACTTGGAGTACAGTACTTGGAGTACAGTACTGGAGTACAGTGCAGTACTGGAGTACAGTGCAGTACTTGTAGTACAGTGCAGTACTTGTAGTACAGTGCAGTACTTGGAGTACAGTACTTGTAGTACAGTGCAGTACTTGGAGTGCAGTACTTGTAGTACAGTGCAGTACTTGTAGTACAGTGCAGTACTTGGAGTGCAGTACTTGTAGTACAGTGCAGTACTTGGAGTGTAGTACTTGTAGTACAGTACATGTACTGCAGTACTTGGAGTACAGTGCAGTACTTGTAGTACAGTGCAGTACTTGAGTACAGTACTTGGAGTACAGTGCAGTACAGTGCAGTACTTGTAGTACAGTGCAGTACTTGAGTACAGTACTTGTAGTACAATGCAGTACTTGTAGTACAGTGCAGTACTTGTAGTACCTCCTCCCGCCACCAGCGTCAGCACCGAGCAGGAAGTGAATCTGCGCCATCTTGGATTTCCCCGCCTGTAGTGAATGTAGTGAATGTAGCTGCGCTTTGACGGGAATAAGTCGTGTTTTCGTTACGTTAAACCCGCCTGACGTGGACTCGAACCCTCCTGAAACGGTGCCGGCACGTTCACCTGTGCTCAGCTGCGTTTATATTCTTATTATTCAAACGATGAGTTGCGTTTATTACCGGGGGAAGTGAGAAACGAGCGCTTCTCCGTGGCAGCCGAACAGGACGCGTTGTTTGCTGCTGACAGCGTCTGTCAGCCGACTGGACTTTATTACTTTGCAGCTGACGGACTGACGGACAGCTGACGGACAGCTGACGGACTGACGGACAGCTGACGGACTGACGGACAGCTGACGGCTAATAATGCAGCTCCGGTGTGACGTTATGAGATGACGTCTCCGTCACCTGCTGCCGTGAAGCGAGCTAACGTTACCGGGACGTTGAACACCGGCCGGCCGGTGGCTTGTCCGTAGACAAAAGCTTCAGACGGAAGAATAAAAACTCACCTTCAGTCTCCGGACGGACCGTTTACCGGATCCGACGTGAGGCCGTCAGAGTCAAACACGTGGACCCGGTTTCACCTGAACCTGATCCGGGTTCGCTGATTCGGCTCGAAACACGAGGAAACGGATTAAAACTGAACTCTCAGCTAAACAATACAAACAGTCCTCCGTAAATAACGTGCTTCAGCTTCTAAAACTAATAAATGTTGGTAATAATTCACATAAACGTACATTAAAATGAAACCGTCGGTGAACGTCAGCAGATTCGTGCGCAGCGCCGCAGCTGAGAGTTTCCAGCAGGGGGCGCCGGCGTGTCTGCAGCAGCGTTTATAACCAGATCAGAACACCGAGAGGAAGAAGTCCGCCGGTACAGACTCGGCACGAGGCTTTTTATTCATTATTATTTATTATTAGTATTACAACAGTGTCTGG